GGGGGGGGAGGGGGGGGGGGGGAGGAAAAAATGAGGAGAGAGAGTCACCTTTAGAAGAAGGAGGAGAAGAAAGAAATGGAAAAGATAGGAGAGGGGAAGACAGGGATATGGAAAGAGAGAAGAAAGGGAGAAATACAGAGGAGGAAAAGACATGCAGGAGAATCAGAGAAGAGAGGTAAGAGTGTAAGGAGAAGGAGTTGAGAGTTAGGAAAGTAGAGGAGAGGAAAAGAAAGTGGAGTAAAAAGAGATGAGAGGTAAAAAAAAAAGGGGGGGGGGGGGTGATGGAGTTAAACAGAGAAGAGGAAAACAAAGTAGGAAAAAAATGGAGAGGAGAGGACAGAGAGAAGAGGAAAAGAATGGAGAGAGAGAAGAGGGAAAGACAGGAGTGTGAAAAGAAGAAAAAGAAGAAAAAAGACAGGAGAGGGAAAGACAAGCAGGAGAGACAGAGAGGAAAGTGAGGAGAGGAGAAAAAAGGAGGAAAGGAGAGGAGACATACGAAAAGAGAGAGAGAGAGGGAAGAGGGAGAAAGTAAAAATAGGAGGAGAGGACAGGGAGAAGAAAGAGAAAAAAGAGGAGAGGAAAAGATTAGCATTGGAACAAAAGAGAGGAGAAGGAGAGGAAAGGAGAGAGGAGAAGGAGAAGAGAGAGAGAGGAGAGGAGAAGAGAGGAGAGGAGAGGAGAGGAGAGAGAGGAGAGGAAAGGAGGAGAAGAGAGAGAGAGAGGGAGAGGAGAGGAGAAGGAGAGGAAGGAGGAGAGGAGGAGAGAGGAGGAGGAGAGGAGAGAAGGAGGAGAGGAGGGAGAACAGATGAGTAGATAGGACTGTAAGGAAACAATGAAGGTGGGAAGGAGAGTTGGGAGAGAAATAGGAAAGTGAAGAAGAAAACAAGATTTGACAGAAAAAAAAGGGAAGAAAAGTGTTGAAAAAGCAGAAAAAGGAGAAGTAAAGGAAAGAATAGAAATGACAACGTCGGAGGAAAATGAAGAGCAGGGCGGAGCCATACTGCAGGTCCCTCTAATATCGGTGGTGTACTTTGGCGGACGCCACGTTTGCCGTGATGGCGGATCCGGCGGCGGATCGATGTACACCATTCCTTATCGATATCTATGGATTCCTGATGATCTTTATTTCATGAGTTCCCCTCCTCCCCTTGGCTCGCTCTTTGCACATCTGACCAGAGTATCTCCTGCGTGTTGCAGTTTATTTCTGTCTATGACGGGGGCCTGGCACAATGCTGGGGGGGGGGGGCGGTAATAATTCCCCAATCGGGTTCCTCTGCCACCAGCGGTCCCTGCAGGCGTGGGTGTGTGCTGGGTAATGAGCTTCGGTATTGGCAGTGCAGTCACGGCGTGTTTACATGTCTCAGCTCCTCGGAGACCGCCACACACAAAATCCAGGAGGATTCTGTACCCCGGCAGCTGCAATCGCTGCGATCGTCTCAAGGTCAGCGTCACCCACCGACGTGATGATCATCAAGTGACTAGCGCCAGGGACACGCCGAGCGCAGCTCACCCTTCATGGCTCGCCTGCCTTGGACATCTGGATGGATTCCTGCCGATAAACATTGGGGGGGGGGTGGTATTTTGGGGGGTTGCGACATCTGGCGCAGCTCTGTATAGTAACCAATCAGCTTCCAGGTTTTATCGTGAAAGTTTAATTGAACAAGCTGAAGGCAGAAGCTGATTGGCTGCCATGCACAGCCGCACCAGATCCCGTGACTTGGTAAATCTCCTTTATTCTGTCCAGCCTGCAAAACATGACTTTATGTACGAAGGGGGGGGGGTAAAATATTAGGGGGGCATCTGCTTGCTAAAGCGAAAGGAAGTTTGGCCTTTCCTCCTCCCCTCCCCCGCCTCTACTACTTTTGGATTTTTTTTTCTGGGAGTGGGTACCTATTTGTGATAGATACCCGCTCCCTCTTCCAGTCAGTTCACCTATGGCGGGACACGTCCCAGGAGGCCATGGGTTTATTCAGAAAGCACAGCACGACACCGCGCATGCGCGGCGGGGGAGCCGGCTGTGAGCCAGTAGGAGTTCTAGGGCAGCACAGAAGCTAAATGGTTAGCATTTCCACCTGGCAATATTAGGGTCATTGGTTCAAATCCCAACCACGGCACCACCTGCCTGGAGTTTGCATGTTCTCCCTGTGCCTGCACGGGTTTCCACCGGGTACTCCAGTTCAGGGGCGGAATGACCATTTGGAAACTCAGGCACTGCCCGAGGGCCCGGGGTCAGTAGGGGGTCCCATGAGATGCCCCTGGTACCTTTTTCATAGGCTTTTTTGAGTTTGGGCAAGGACACAGGGGCCCCATGATCCCCTATTGCCCGGGGGGCCCCATGAGTTGTCAGTCTTTTTTATACTAGTAATGGCGGCGATCAGCGTCTTATAGCGGGACTGCGGCGGGCATTCTGACACTGGGGGGGAAACTTGCTTGGTGTCACTGACATCCCCAGTGACACCAATACAGTGATCAGTGCTAATAAAAAGCTCCAACACTGTACTAATGGCACCAGGCAGGAAGGGGTTTAACATCTGGGGGGGATCAAAGGGTTAACTGTGTGCTCTGTGTGTGCATTACTGTGTAAGCTATGCAGAGCCATACAAAGCAGCATGTCCTTGCTGACAGTGGAGAGATCTGTGTTGTTTACACACAGCTCTCTCCCCTGTCAGTGTTCCTCTGGGATCGCTGGTGGGGAATCCCTGGGCCGGGACCCGGTGATCGACAGCTGAAGCCGCCAGTGGAGGCACCACCTACCCGGAAGAACAAAGTCACGTATATAAATATACGTGATTTTGCGCAGCCCTGCCTCTGATAGGGATTCTGATATAAGGGGGCACTCTGATGGGGATTCTGATATAAGTGGGGACTCTGATGGGGATTCTGATATATGCGTGGACTCTGATGGGGATTCTGATATATGCAGGGACTCTGATTGGGATTCTGATATAAGTGGGGACTCTGATGGGGATTCTGATATATGCGTGGACTCTGATTGGGATTCTGATATAAGTGGGGACTCTGATTGGGATTCTGATATATGCAGGGACTCTGATGGGGATTCTGATATAAGTGGGGACTCTGATGGGGATTCTGATATATGCGGGGACTCTGATGGGGATTCTGATATAAGTGGGGACTCTGATGGGGACTCTGATATATGCGTGGACTCTGATGGGGATTCTGATATATGCAGGGACTCTGATTGGGATTCTGATATAAGCGGGGACTCTGATGGGGATTCTGATATATGCTGGGATATATAAGCAGGGACTCTGATTGGGATTCTGATATAAGCAGGGGACTCTGATGGGATTCTGATAAAAGCGGGGACTCTGATGGGGATTCTGATATATGCAGGGAATCTCATAGGGATTCTGATATATGTGTGCACTCTGATGGGGATTCTGACATAAAGGGGCACTTTGATGGGGATTCTGATATATGCGGGGACTCTGATGGGTCATTTGTTCTGAAATAAGTGCTGACTCAGATGGGATCGAACATAAGGAGAACTCTGATGGGGATTCAGATAAAGTGGGGGACTCTGACAGGATCTTGACATAAGGAGGGACTCTGATGGGGATCCAGATGTAAGGCAGATTCTGATAAGAACCCTGATGAAAGGGAGACTCTGATGTAAAGGAGACTCTGATGGTTACCCTGATGTAACTGGGGACTCTGAAGGAATCCTGACATAAGGGGAGGATTCTGATGGGGATTCTGATATAAGTGGGGACTCTGATAGAACCCTGACATAAAGGGCATCTCTGATGGGAACCCTGATGTAACTACAATAATTGGGGACTCTGCAGGGATCCTGATAAAAGGAGGGGTTCTGATGGGACCCTGGCATAAGAGGGGACTCTGATGGTGATCCTAATTTAAGGAGGACTCTGACATGGACCCTGAAATAAGTGGGGACTCTGATGGGACCCTGACATAAGGGGGGACAGTGTTGGGGACTATGATGTAAGGGGGCTCTGATGGGCACCCTAATATTAGGATGACTCTGATGAGGACCTTAATAAGGGGGACTCTGATGGATACTTGGATATAAGTGGGGACTTTGATGGGACCCTGAAATAAGTGGGGACGGTGTTTGGGGACTCTGATGGGCGCCCTAATATTAGGACGACTCTGATGAGGACCCTAATAAGGGGGGCTCTGCTCTGATGGTGATCTTAATATAAGTGGGGACTCTTGTGGGGACCCTGATGTATGGAGGACTCATAGGGGATGTAAGAGGGGGCACTAATGGGGATTTTTCGGCAGTAGGACCCTCATAGTGAAGAGCTCGGAGCCCCCCGACCCCAGGAAGCCATCGATCGATCGCCAGGTCTAAGATGCCAATAAAGGTAACATAGCGGATTAAAACACATTTGTTTAGTAAATAGCCCCCCCCTTTGCCCCCCCCCCCCAGCCGCTTCCCCCCCCCCCCCCCGAATACAATGCATTGTCCCCTGGATCCCGGGTCCCGGGCGGCTCTATCAGCCATGAAGTCGCAGATCTGCTCATTAGCCGCACAATGTGTGAGTATCTAGGTTGGCGCTCCGGGCTGTGCGCTGGATCCGTGTGCTGATGATGGGCGGAGGCTGCTGACTCTGTGATCCTGACAGCAGGAAACAGACTGAAAATAATACGAGAGAAACATTGTTTCCATGGACATTAGATGAACAGATCTCATCTACAGTATATTACCCACCAATGATGTATCCCCTTACATTGGATACAGTAAGTGCAGAGTACAACCTCTGCTGGACACTTACTGCTTGTAGAAGGGACTTCCTGTCTTGGGCATACAACAGGAAGTGAGGGGACGATTCTAAGCAGTGGGGGGGTCACCGACAACAAGACAAACTGAGACTGCACAGAGAAAAAAATCTGGATGGAAACCAAGAATCGTCCTGTGTTGGTATAGGCTTTCCACTGACCACCAATGTAAGGGACATTCTTCCCACTGACCACCAATGTAAGGAGCATTCTTCCCACTGACCCCCAATGTAAGGGACATTCTTCCCACTGACCACCAATGTAAGGGACATTCTTCCCACTGACCACCAATGTAAGGGACATTCTTCCCACTGACCCCCAATGTAAGGGACATTCTTCCCACTGACCCCCAATGTAAGGGACATTCTTCCCACTGACCCCCAATGTAAGGGACATTCTTCCCACTGACCACCAATGTAAGGGACATTCTTCCCACTGACCCCCAATGTAAGGGACATTCTTCCCACTGACCCCCAATGTAAGGGACATTCTTCCCACTGACCACCAATGTAAGGGACATTCTTCCCACTGACCACCAATGTAAGGGACATTCTTCCCACTGACCCCCAATGTAAGGGACATTCTTCCCACTGACCCCCAATGTAAGGGACATTCTTCCCACTGACCCCCAATGTAAGGGACATTCTTCCCACTGACCCCCAATGTAAGGGACATTCTTCCCACTGACCACCAATGTAAGGGACATTCCTCCCACTGACCCCCAATGTAAGGAACATTCTTCCCACTGACCCCAATGTAAGGGACATTCTTCCCACTGACCCCCAATGTAAGGGACATTCTTCCCACTGACCCCCAATGTAAGGGACATTCTTCCCACTGACCCCCAATGTAAGGGACATTCTTCCCACTGACCACCAATGTAAGGGACATTCTTCCCACTGATCACCAATGTAAGGGACATTCTTCCCACTGACCCCCAATGTAAGGGACATTCTTCCCACTGAACCCCTGTAAGGGACATTCTTCCCACTGACCACCAATGTAAGGGACATTCTTCCCACTGACCACCAATGTAAGGGACATTCTTCCCACTGACCACCAATGTAAGGGACATTCTTCCCACTGACCAACAATGTAAGGGACATTCTTCCCACATGACCTCCAATGTAAGGGACATTCTTCCCACTGACCACCAATGTAAGGACATTCTTCCCACTGACCCCAATGTAAGGGACGTTCTTCCCACTGACCCCCAATGTAAGGGACATTCTTCCCCACTGACCCCCAATGTAAGGGACATTCTTCCCACTGACCCCCAATGTAAGGGACATTCTTCCCACTGACCACCAATGTAAGGGACATTCTTCCCACTGACCACCAATGTAAGGGACATTCTTCCCACTGACCACCCAATGTAAGGGACATTCTTCCCACTGACCCCCAATGTAAGGGACATTCTTCCCACTGACCCCCAATGTAAGGGACATTCTTCCCACTGACCTCCAATGTAAGGGACATTCTTCCCACTGACCCCCAATGTAAGGGACATTCTTCCCACTGACCTCCAATGTAAGGGACATTCTTCCCACTGACCCCCCAATGTAAGGGACATTCTTCCCACTGACCCCAATGTAAGGGACATTCTTCCCACTGACCCCCAATGTAAGGACATTCTTCCCACTGACCCCAATGTAAGGGACATTCTTCCCACTGACCCCCAATGTAAGGGACGTTTCTTCCCACTGACCCCCCAATGTAAGGGACATTCTTCCCACTGACCCCCAATGTAAGGGACATTCTTCCCACTGACCCCCAATGTAAGGGACATTCTTCCCACTGATCTCCAATGTAAGGGACATTCTTCCCACTGATCTCCAATGTAAGGGACATTCTTCCCACTGACCCCCAATGTAAGGGACATTCTTCCCACTGACCCCCAATGTAAGGGACATTCTTCCCCACTGACCCCCAATGTAAGGGACATTCTTCCCACTGACCCCCAATGTAAGGAGCATTCTACCCACTGACCCCCCAATGTAAGGGACATTCTTCCCACTGACCCCCAATGTAAGGGACATTCTTCCCACTGACCCCCAATGTAAGGGACATTCTTCCCACTGACCTCCAATGTAAGGGACATTCTTCCCACTGACCCCCAATGTAAGGGACATTCTTCCCACTGACCACCAATGTAAGGGACATTCTTCCCACTGACCCCCAATGTAAGGGACATTCTTCCCACTGACCCCCAATGTAAGGGACATTCTTCCCACTGATCACCCAATGTAAGGGACATTCTTCCTTCCCACAGACCCCCAATGTAAGGGACATTCTTCCCACTGACCCCCAATGTAAGGGACATTCTTCCCACTGACCCCCAATGTAAGGGACATTCTTCCCACTGACCCCCAATGTAAGGGACATTCTTCCCACTGACCACCAATGTAAGGGACATTCTTCCCACTGATCACCAATGTAAGGGACATTCTTCCCACTGACCCCCAATGTAAGGGACATTCTTCCCACTGATCACCAATGTAAGGGACATTCTTCCCACAGACCCCCAATGTAAGGGACATTCTTCCCACTGACCCCCAATGTAAGGGACATTCTTCCCACTGACCACCAAGTAAGGGACATTCTTCCCACTGACCCCCAATGTAAGGGACATTCTTCCCACTGACCCCCCAATGTAAGGGACATTCTTCCCACTGATCCCCAATGTAAGGGACATTCTTCCCACTGACCCCCAATGTAAGGGACATTCTTCCCACTGACCTCCAATGTAAGGGACATTCTTCCCACTGACCCCCCAATGTAAGGGACATTCTTCCCACTGACCCCCAATGTAAGGGACATTCTTCCCACTGACCCCCAATGTAAGGGACATTCTTCCCACTGACCACCAATGTAAGGGACATTCTTCCCACTGACCACCAATGTAAGGGACATTCTTCCCACTGACCCCCAATGTAAGGGACGTTCTTCCCCCACTGACCCCCAATGTAAGGGACATTCTTCCCACTGACCCCCAATGTAAGGGACATTCTTCCCACTGACCCCCAATGTAAGGGACATTCTTCCCACTGACCTCCAATGTAAGGGGCATTCTTCCCACTGACCCCCAATGTAAGGGACATTCTTCCCACCGACCCCCAATGTAAGGGACATTCTTTTGCTGACCACCAATGTAAGGGACATTCTTCCCACTGATCACCAATGTAAGGGACATTCTTCCCACTGATCACCAATGTAAGGGACATTCTTCCCACTGACCCCCAATGTAAGGGACATTCTTCCCACTGACCACCAATGTAAGGGACATTTTTCCCTCTGACCCCCAATGTAAGGGGCATTCTTCCCACTGACCCCCAATGTAAGGGACATTCTTCCCACTGATCACCAATGTAAGGGACATTCTTCCCACTGACCTCCAATGTAAGGGACATTCTTCCCACTGACCTCCAATGTAAGGGACATTCTTCCCACTGACCACCAATGTAAGGGACATTCTTCCCACTGACCCCCAATGTAAGGGACATTCTTCCCACTGACCCCCAATGTAAGGGGCATTCTTCCCACTGATCACCAATGTAAGGAGCATTCTTCCCACTGATCACCAATGTAAGGGACATTCTTCCCACTGACCACCAATGTAAGGGACATTCTTCCCACTGACCACCAATGTAAGGGACATTCTTCCCACTGACCACCAATGTAAGGGACATTCTTCCCACTGACCACAATTAAGGGACTTCCCACTGACCCCCAATGTAAGGGACATTCTTCCCACTGACCACCAATGTAAGGGACATTCTTCCCACTGACCACCAATGTAAGGGACATTCTTCCCACTGACCCCCAATGTAAGGGGTATTCTTCCCACTGACCCCCAATGTAAGGGACATTCTTCCCACTGACCCCCAATGTAAGGGACATTTTTCCACTGACCCCCAATGTAAGGGACGTTCTTCCCACTGATCACCAATGTAAGGGACATTCTTCCCACTGACCACCAATGTAAGGGACATTCTTCCCACTGACCCCCAATGTAAGGGACATTCTTCCCACCGACCACCAATGTAAGGGGCATCCTAACCCCTATCCTTAACCCATAACCTCCATCCTCCAATCATGTGCAAGCCCTAACTCTCTTACCCTAATGCTAACCCAACCCGAGCCATAAATTCTAACCATAAATCCTAACCCTCATGATCTAATCACGTGCGAGCAAAAATGCAGTTTTTTTCTTTTCCTTGCATGTGATTGGGTGTGCTTTGCAAAGTGAAGCTCCTATATATATGATCTAAAATAACATATGGAATGAAAACATGAAGGTATTATTTGAAAACATATGAATAGTCCGTTGATGAGAGAACATAAGAGAAAACAGGGAACGTAAATCGTAGGCAGGTGAGACTTCCACTTTAAGGGCTTGTCCACACCATGCCCAATGAACTGCCTTTTTCGGCACCCCACCACCGCAGGTGCATGAGCAAGCCCTTAATCACACGTTTTTGTATCTGGAATTTCCCTGGAAATCCAAGAGGTTTCTAAGTGGATGGCGCCGATCGGCTCCAGTCATTCTGATTTGCAAGAAACAAGTTGCCCTGCAGGCTGGCAAGTCGGTCTCCAATAGATGACACCGGCTGTCCGGGACCCAGAGAAGATATCCCACCTTTGCTTACACAGACTATAAATAAATACTAAACTACCAGCCAGCCAAGGCCAGCACCGGGGCTGTGAGAAGTTCAAACATGGCCCGTTACTGTAGCATTTCCACAGCAACAGAGCTGCTGAGGTCACAGGCAGAAAATCATTAAATCACACAAAGTGACCGCGAAGAAGCGATGTTACAGACATTATCGCATGCTGCAAGGGAAATCAGCTTGGCAGATCAAATGTGGCAGCGTTACAAAGGATCATTCCATCTGCTGGTGGCGGTACATGGCTACATCGTGCACGGGGCAAACTCAGGGGAGGACATTAGCAGGGTAAGGTTCGTAGCATCCGAGGCAAGGTGAAGATGCCAAAGCCCCTCCTACCCCCTCTTCCTCCTGAGCTGGGGGTCCACAGTAGGAAATACCAATTAGACATTCAGGTTGGAAACCTTGTCCAGTCCCTATGTCTGTGAAGGTTCTCATTTATCTAGGTCATGGTACATCTAATAGTCATTAGTAACATTCAATTGGACTTGTTCTGCAATGTGGAAGATGTTTCATAGCTTGTCCAAGGCACTTTTTTTTTTACTCTAGTGAGTTCATCTATGCTAAGCTGGAGGAACCTTCATTGGACATGGGTGGGAGTCTGCAAAACCATCTGTAATGTCAAAGAAGCTTGATAGATTATCCAAGCCACTTTTTCAATTCTAATGGGTCCAGCTATGCCAATCTGGAGGAACTATCATTAAACATGAGTAGGAGCCTTCAACACCATCTGTAATGTCAAAGACACTTCATAGCTTATCCAAGCCACTTTTTCGATTCTAATGGGTCCATCTATGCCAAGCTGGAGGAACTATCATTCAACATGGGTAGGAGCCTTCAACACCATCTGTAATGTCAAAGACACTTCATAGCTTATCCAAGCCACTTTTTCATTTCTAATGAGTCCATCTATTCCAAGCTGGAGAAACTATCATTTTGACATGGGTAGGAGCCTTCAACACCATCTGTAATGTCAAAGACACTTCATAGCTTATCCAAGCCACTTTTTCGATTCTAATGGGTCCATCTATGCCAAGCTGGAGGAACTATCATTCAACATGGGTAGGAGCCTTCAACACCATCTGTAATGTCAAAGACACTTCATAGCTTATCCAAGCCACTTTTTCGATTCTAATGGGTCCATCTATGCCAAGCTGGAGGAACTATCATTCAACATGGGTAGGAGCCTTCAACACCATCTGTAATATCAAAGCTTCATAGCTTATCCAAGCCACTTTTTCATTTCTAATGAGTCCATCTATGCCTTGCTGGAGGAACCATCATTTGACATGGGTAGGAGCCTTCAACACCGTCTGTAATGTCAAAGACACTTCATAAAGTATCCAAGCCACTTTTTCATTTCTAATGAGTCCATCTATGCCTTGCTGGAGGAACCATCATTTGACATGGGTAGGAGCCTTCAACACCGTCTGTAATGTCAAAGACACTTCATAGACTATCCAAGCCATTTTTTTCGGTTCTAATGAGTCCATCTATGTCTTTCTGGAGGAACCATCATTGTACAGGGGTGGGGGCCTTCAACCTCGTCTGTCATTTACATATAACAGTGCCAGGAAGGCTTCATAGATGTTATTACTTTGATTTCCATGGTAGATGATGCTGTTTTATCACCTTTATCCCAGCTCTTTGACAGTTCACACCTTCAACCATATAAATCAGAAGAGTGACATTTATGAAGCCTTCCTGACACCAAAGATGGGATTATGTACCTACAACATTGTTTTCACAATTTTCACACTTCATATCCTGTCTGTAGACAATAGTCCCTGCCTCTTCATAGATATAAATGTTGAGGTTTGAACTGAAGAAGTGGCTTAAGCCTCAAACACACAATGAGAATATCGGACGAATAATCGTCGTTTTGTTTTTTTAGTCTCGTATCGAAATTAAAGAGGTTACTAAAGTTACGACAGAATGCAATTTCGGATGCGATGTTACGTATTGTGTTCTACTGTAATGTATTCTTTCGTTTCTGAGTATGCATGGTCTTGGTCTTCCAATTTTTTTCAGACGAATACTGTACTGATTAAACGAAAATCGTATGTTCTGGTATCGTATAAGAACAATTTTTGTGTTTGTGCCTTCGGATAATTTCACACAAACTGTCGTGACTGGTTCTCAAAAACTGTGTACAATCGATCAGATTATTGTACGATCGCTTCGAAAGCAATATTTTTTATCTAATTTTCTGATCGTGTGTACTAGGCATTATAGAAGCTACAAAACATCCTCAATATTACAGAACAAGTCCAGTTGAATGTGACCGACTACTACTAGATATACTTGTCTAGTACCTGTTTTCTCCATCCTAAGTCCTGAACCAAGGTGCTGAACCACTGCTTCTGCTACATGTCTCTGAAGGTTCATCCAAGTCCAGGTGTATCTAGAAGTAGTTGTTCACATTCAACTACCATCTCTATGCTGATGACACGCAAATCTATCTGTCTACCCCTCACCTCACCCCTTCAGTTTCCACCCACATCGCTAGCCTACTAAGCGACATATCGGCTTGGAGGTCACTCCACTTCCTCAAACTCAACCTTTCCAAAACTGAGCTCCTAGTATTCCCCTCCCGCCCGCGCACCCCCCCCCCCCCCCCACTGACTATCGCTAACACCATCCTCAGTCCATCCCCTCATGCCAGGGTACTAGGTGTAATCCTAGGCTCCCATCTGTCCTTTCAGGCCCAAATCCAATCGCTGTCAAAATCATGTAGACTTCACCTCCACAACATCTCCAAGATACGCCCGTTCCTAACCTCGGAAACCACTAAGCAACTTATTCACTCCCTTGTTATATCTCGCCTCGACTACTGTAACTCCCTCCTCATTGGCTGACCTCATCGCAGGTTATCCCCCCTCCAGTCTATCATGAACACCGCTGCCAGACTCATCCACCTCACGAACCGTTCTGTATCTGCCAAACCTCTCTGCCAATCCCTCCACTGGTCTCCATTCAGTGTCCTCCATCCCTCTCTGCCAATCCCTCCACTGGTCTCCATTCAGTGTCCTCCATCCCTCTCTGTCAATCCCTCCACTGGTCTCCATTCAGTGTCCTCCACCCCTCTCTGCCAATCCCTCTACTGGCCTCCATTCAGTGTCCTCCACCCCTCTCTGCCAATCCCTCCACTGGTCTCCATTCAGTGTCCTCCACCCCCCTCTGCCAATCCCTCCACTGGCTTCCAATTGCCCAATGGATAAAATTCAAAACACTAACACTGACGTATAAAGCCATCCACAACACTGCCCCAATTTACATAATCGATCTAATCTCTAAATATCACCCAAACCGTACACTCCGCTCCTCGCAAGACCTCTTACTCTCTAGCTCCCTTATCTCCTCCTCCCATGCTCGTCTCCAAGACTTCTCCAGGGCGTCACCCATCCTCTGGAACTCCCTACCCCAATCTATCAGACTCTCACCTACTCTACTTGCCTTTAGGCGATCACTGAAAACCTATCTTTTCAGGGAAGCCTATCCTGCCCTCTGCTAATTCTGGAATCCTCTACTCTTCCAACCACTCCATCCCCCACAGTTACTACCTACTGTACCATTCACCCCTCCCTCCTAGATTGTAAGCTCCAAGGAGCAGGGCCCTCAAATCCCTCTTGTATTGAACTGTATTGTCTCCCACTATAATGTAAAGTGCTGAGCAAACCGTTTGCGCTATATAAATCCTGTATAATAATAATAACTAGACATGTTCTGTAATGTTGAAGAAGTATTTTAGCTTCTCCAAGCCACTTAAGTTCTAATGAGTGTCAGGAACATAACACAGTTTGCAAGATGTGCAAAAGAGGCATTTGGAACAACGATCATTCAACAGGGATGGGAGCTTTCAATACCATCTATCTTCCACATATAATGCCATTTTGAGGTCTCTACCCTGGCTTTTTGACAACAATCCACACCTCCAGGACTGATATTTATGAAGCATTCATGACACCAAGAGTGGGATTATATACTTAGAACAGGGTGGTTCCATATTTTTCACACCTCCCATCCTGTCCTTAGATCCTAATAGCATCTGCTTTTCCTTGGTAATTATATTATGGTGATGGTGTTATGTGTAGAGATCAAGGCTAGGAAATGTTCCTCACACTTATTAAAATTCAAGTGGCTTGTACAAGCACTGAAACATCCTCAACATTACAGGACAAGTCCAGATGAATATGACAAACTACTACTTTTTTCAAGTTCCCATCATCTCCATCATATGTGCAAGCCACTGGCACTTGTAGCATGCTTCCCCTACATTTCAATGAAGGTTCTGAAACCCTCTGGGAGGAGGAGAACCTGACTATAAGGCCACATGCCCTCCAACCCAAGACCTTCAGGGCAAGTCTAAATGATATACACCCTACTAATTGTGAGTAAAGTGCTACATGCATGTGCACAAAGTGTGAGGTTCACCCAAGTAAAGTGCTAGGTAATGAGGCTTCCTGGAAGGGAAACCCCCTGGGAGGAGGAGAACCTGACCATAGGGCCACATGCCCTCAAAGCCAAGACCTTCAGGGTAAGTCAGAGGACCTACACCCTACTAATTGTGACTAAAGTGCTACATGTACATGCATAAAGTGCAAAGTTCACCCAAGTAATAGGTAGTGAGGCTTCCCGAAAGGGAAACCCTCTGGGAGGAGGAGAACCTGACCATAAGGCCACATGCTCTCCAACTCAAGACCTTCAGGGCAAGTCCAAGAACCTACACCCTATTAATTGTGAGTAAAGTGCTACATGTACATGCAAAAAGTGCATGGTTCACCCAAGTGCTAGGTAGTGAGGCTACCCAGAAGGGAAACCCCATGGGAGGAAGAGAACCTGACCATAAGGCCACATGCCCTGCAATCGAAAACCTTCAAAGCAAGTCCAAGGACCTACACTCTACTTATTGTGAGTAAAGTGCTACATGTACGTGCAAAAAGGGCAAGGTTCACCCAAGTACTAGGCAGGTTTCCCTGGAAGGGAGACCCCATGGGAGAAGGATAACCTGACCATAAAGCCACATGGCCTTAAACCCAAGACCTTCAGGGCAAGTCATAGGACCTACACTCTACTAATTGTGAGTAAAGTGCTACATGTACATGCACAAAGTGCAAGGTTCACCCAAGTAATAGGTAGTGAGACTTCCTGGAAGGGAAACCCTCTGGGAGGAAGAGAACCTGACCATAAGGCCAAATGTCCTCCAACCCAAGTCCTTCAGGGCAAGTCCAAGGACCTACACCCTATTAATTGTGAGTAAAGTGCTACATGTACATGCAAAAAGTGCAAGGTTCACCCAAGTATTAGGTAGTAAGGCTACCCGGAAGGGAAACCCCATGGGAGGAAGAGAACCTGACCATAAGGCTACATGCCCTGCAATCCAAGACCTTCAGAGGACCTACACTCTACTTATTGTGAGTAAAGTGCTACATGTACGTGCAAAAAGGGCAAGGTTCACCCAAGTACTAGGCAGTGGGGCTCCCTGGAAGACCCCATGGGAGAAGGAGAACTTGACCATAAAGCCACATGCCCATTAAACCCAAGACCTTCAGGGCAAGTCCAAGGACCTTACACTATAAGAATTGTGAGAAATTGTTATGCACGTGCAAAAAAAAAAAGCGCAAAAATAAATAAGAGCTTGGGTGCTAAAGTGCAAGACAACCAGCTGGTATAAAATTTCCTCAACCGAAAGGCCCAGTCCAGGAGGCAGGAGTGTGAAAGGTTGCCTCTATGCAGAAGCTTCCTGTAATAAAGACTGGTCACTGCTCCTCTCTCTCCTTGTGCAGAGTGACTGGTCTTGTCTCCGCCCCTCCTGTAGTTTTCTGAAGTGGGTGGAGCCTGCTAGGTCCTCCCACACCTTTGCTCTCTGCACAGGCTATTATGATATCACTGTGACTTTTCCAGGGCAATACAAAGGCATCAGATGGCTACAGTGGGGTTTTATCCTTTGTGGCTATCGAGGAATATATTTCAATGAAAGTTTTTTTTGCGCCCGGAGTTCAGCTTTAAGCATTCCTAAAGAAGAGGGGAGAACAAGAAGGACTTTAGCTCATGGGAATATGTTCATTTATAGACCGATGGGCAGGCATGTGACAAAGTGAGCTGCAACGCTACAATAGTAAATGGCGTTGTCACCCCCCCCCCCCCCCCCCCCGCCGTGCGGCAAAGACTTATGGATCATGTGAATGGCCATGCAGGTCATTGGGTCTCCTATGACCAGGGGTGTATTTAGGTTTTGTGCTGCCCTAGGCAACACAAACATCGTTTGCCCCCACGGACACTGACCAACACAACCCTCCTTCCCCCTCCCGCGGAGAGAGCCTGACATTGACCAACAAAACCTCTGCCCCCCACCCAGAAGAGCCTTCCACTACCCCCCCCCCCCCCATTGATAAAGGGACACTCATCTCCACAGCTCCAGACATCTCAGGAACAAAAGTCAGGCTCTACATACACCACCAAGCAGCCTCTCTCGGATCCCACTTGGTTCCCCACAGTTCACGTGTCCGTCCCTTCTTTCATCCCTTCTTCTGGGGGGGGGGGTGCTGCCCCCTTGAAAAATGCCGCCCTAGGCAAGTGCCTTGTTTGCCTTGTTGTATATACGCCCCTGCCTATGACTCCTAGGTCTTGGTATGTATTTCATATGTACATTCGGTTATTTGGATGGATCTCCTCCGCTAAGCTTTCCATCTCTACTAAAGAGGGCGCAGGCGAGGAAAGGAAATTTCTCTACCTATCTAGTCTGGGAGACAACTGGAAATTCTGTCTGTATCAGCAGTAATTAAGCTCCAGGCTCTGATAGCGAAGATGAAAAAAAAAAAAAAAAATAACCCAGCCACTGCCGCCCTCCCCCAAAAAAATCTAAAATAAGTCTACATGTGGGACTCGATCTTAACTCCTTCTCTGCTGGTGCCACTCGTGCTTCCAAGAAAAGGCCGAATCCCCCCCCCATGCAATCCCAGCGCTAGGCCTTCCTAATTCCTATACTGGGGTTGTTGCATTTGCGATTTAAAAAGAAAAAAAAAAAAAAAAAAATCGGGACATTTAACAAAATCGAGAAAACAACAGGGCTGCCAGTGGCATCTCTCTTGTTTTTCTCCTGGCTGAGACGTGCGCTTTAAATTTTTGGCCTGGCTCACGAGAGATGTCACATGACTTTCTGCTTGAGGAAGCAGAGATCTGGCAGCTTCCAGAGGGAGCGAGAAGTAGGAGGAAGGTGGGGGAAGGGGTAGTTTAAGATTAATGGGAGCAGCGCAGAGGAAAGAGAGAGAAGAGAGAAAGGGAAAAAAAAAATAAAAAAAAATAAAATCTGGTGCTATGGATAGGGATGCTGAATCATAAGCGTTGGTCGCCGGGAGTCAACGGGCCAATAGCAGAAGCTAACACTCTATTCCCCGTTGTCTTGTATTGGGGTCAAATGCAAAGCACGATTCTAGATGGTGGGGTCTGGAGGAGAGCGGCGAAAAGAGCGGTGGCGTTCCTCGTCCTTCGCACAGCCGATGCGTGGTAGCATTTTCCTTCACGGGAAAGAATGAAGCGTTTTGTGCGTTGACGTTCGAGCTCGAAGCTTTATGGGCAGATTTAGAGGGACGGCATGCATGACTTGGACCTTGGCTGGGAAGGTGTAGAGAAGAAAGCACATAAAGTGAAGGAATGCCCAAAATGAAAATATCCCAGAGGGTCCTACATCCCTCCTTAGTTAGTATGCACACGGTAGAATGGTATCCAGATACTCTTCCCAACCCCCCCCCCCCCCATGTGCTACATCTCCTGACTTTTCTATCAAGATCAATAATACAACTATCAGTCCCATCACTCATGCCAGGGTGCTGGGTGTAATACTGGACTCTGAACTCTCATTCACAGCCATTCACTATCAGGGGCGGCCTGACCATTTGGAAACTCGGGCACTGTCCGAGGGCCTGGGGTCAGTAGGGGGCTCCATGAGATGCCCCTGGTACCTTTTTCATAGGCTTTTTGAGTTTGGCCAAGCACACAGGGGCCCCATGATCTATTGCCCGGGGGCCCCATGAGTTGTCAGTCCGCCCCTGTTCACTATCCATATCTTTCTGAAAATGTTTATATTTTTTTATTTTTTACAAAGACACCACCAAGCTACTAATTAATTCCCTGCTTATCTCTTGTCTTGACTCTTGCAATTCCCTTCTCATTGGCCAATCTCTGCACAGACT